GGAGGTAATTGAGTTAAAATGAGGTCACTGTGGTGGGCCCTAATGCAATATAACTGTGTCCTTGTAGAAGGGAAAATTTGGAGACAGACATGCACACAAGGAGAACACCATGTGAAGACGCGGGTAGACATCAGGGTGACGCGCAACGTGTCAGGTAGCCCCAAAGAGTCTAGCAAACCACCAGAAGCGATGGCAGAGGCACGAAACAGACCCTCCCTCCCATTCCTCAGAAGGAGTCAACCCCACTGAACCCTTCCTCTCTGGCTTCTAGTCTCCAGGACTGTGAGACAATACATTTCTTCCATTCAGGCCAGTTAGTTTGTGGTACTTAGTGATGGCAGCTCTAGCAAAGTAAGAGCCCGGGGACACTGAGTATGATGCCATCTGTGGAGTTAGGGAGCCCTGGAGAAACAGCCACCTGGGGAGAACTGGTGCCTTCACTTACTAGCTGAGTAATTTTCCAGCTGCACGTTTAAAAAAAATGTTTTTCTTCATCTGAAATTGAGGTAATATATAACTTAAAGCAAAATCAGTCTCAAAATGATCAAGCAGCTAGATCATTTGAACTAAATCAAGGTTGTGCTGTTACTGGAATACAAATTAGAGGCAACGTTTTAAAGAGAAAAACCATAATCTCTTAATTACTTTCTACCCCTAAGCAAAGATGACATTCGTGTCCCCCAGGTCATTATTTGGAGAAGTAGGCTGACGGAATATTCTGATGTCTGCTCTTTAAGTAGGATACTAATAAGTCTGAATCACTTGAATTTATTCAATCTATGTAGTGTTTCAAATAAGTGAGATGTGGGACTACTATAAAATATGTCAATACAAAGCAGCATTCTTATTAAATCTGTTTATACCAAGTAGGAGGACATCAGTGCCTAGCCCAGTACCTGTCGTAGGGTAGAAGAAACTCAATAACTATTTGTTGAATGAATAAGTAAGTTATGTAGTCATCAAACATTAACATTGGAAATGTAAGTTAAAGATTATCTTAACTAGAGGTTTTCAGATAATTTTTAGCGGCAGAACTTCTTGTTCAAAGACATCTTGCATGAACCTCAGTACTTGAAACTGATGAAACAAAACTACTGGTCAAAGCATTGTTAGAGATTCATTGTACTGAAACTCCACAGTCTCCCACCTCATCCATCTTTTATTGAAGTAGAAATTTTAGGGGTCTTACAGAGAACATTTTTGAAAAGTACTGATTAGAGTTCCAGTTATACATGGCAGACTATCTCTTTCTTTCAGAATCCCTCCTGAACCCTACTAACAGGATAACAAAGAACTTTGATTTTTTAAAGTTATATTTCACAAGGGCCAAGAGAAAGGGAGAGTGCATGAAAGATTTCAGCAATTTTTTGGAACACGGAAAGTCAGTGAAGGAGCAGAAGGGAGGAAGCTACTAGCTAAGTATTGGCAAAAGACGCACTAATTTGCAGGCAGAGCCCTGAAAGGCTCAGGACTCAAGGACTCTGGTTCCAAAGAAGGTGGGAGTGAAGTACAGGGCTGAAAATAGCATTGGTCAAAATCAGTGAACAGAGCCATAGAACTTCTAGAATGTGCTGTACACCTGCTTCCAGCTGACCTTACCTCTGCAGGAGATCAGAGGAATTTACCTAGAAAATGTTAACAAGACTCTAAGATGGAGACTCGAGGGCTCCAGGTATGGCTACAGAGAAAAAAAAGAGGACAAGAAGGAGTTAAATGAAAGTCTGTAATCTGAATGGTGAAGCCCCTGATCCCTTTCTTCCCCTTCACTGGTCTCAGAGTATCAGCAGCCAGCCTGAATATTGCAGCCTCCCAGGTAAGAGATTAAAGAATTCATCTCTTAAGAAACTGCATGACCCAGAACAAACACTGCCACTGCATGCTAACATTTAGGAGTCCCTCAACTAAAGAGCTTGATCCATCCCCACTCATCTTAAGGTAAACTTCATTAAAAATTATGCAAGAAAAAAATTATACAAGAAAATTTCTCACATTAAAAAATTCAAGTCTCTAGTTTGAAAAGCCTCTTCAAATTCTTAGCAAAAAATTTTAACTGTTTTGAATCAAGACCCACATTAAGACTCACCAATTAGAAATTTCAGGGCACTAAAGATAAATACCTAAGAGCTTCTAGAGATACTAGAATGTTGTTTTAACATGTCAAAAACAACCAAGGGATATAGAAGCCAATGGAAAAATGCCTTCAAACTCGTGCAAAAAAGATTTTTAATTTAAATTTTAATACCAAGAAAAATAATAAAACAAGTATAAAGGTCGAATACGAATGGTCTCAAAAGACTAAGGAGATTTTTTTTAATTTAGTAATGAGATTAGCCTATAAAACAATAGTATAGCCATATACTCTTCCTCTCCAGCCCGGCTTTTCTCTCCGGCTGTGGGCTTGGCCACATTCTGGGCTTTCTCCTTCCTGGGCTTTCTTTCTTCTTCCCTTCAGCACCCCAGGCCAAATGGCTGCACAAAACTTGATTGCCCCAGAGGACCTCCTCTGGAGGCCAAAAACCAGCAGGATAATAAAAGTTGGCAAGAAGAAAAGAGGGAGATCTTGAAAAGATACTTTTAATTAGGTGATTCAAAACAGCGAGATCATTTATTGACTCAATTCCAGGGTGTTGTGGTTTCCAGTTATGACTTTCAGATAGGCATGGTTTTACTGCATTTGGTTAGGAAACTTAAAATAATTCAATATCAAACTTCATGAGACGATGATGGTGATTTATAGATTTTAAAAGGAAGGAAAGTAGAAGAAAAGCAACACTCATACAATGGTAAGTCCGGATCTTCCAGAGAAGCTGATGAAAACACCAAGTACCTTGTGATTAGGCTATGATTTATGCTGATTTTGTGTTATACACATACACACACACACACACACACACACACACACATACACAGGATTTTTAGTAAGACCTTGAAAAAAAGGACATAACTCCTTTGGACAAATGTCTGTTCACAAAAAAAGCATAAATTAGGAATCCTATGCAATAATACAAAGATTGAGTCTATTTCTCTGCAAACCAAAGTTACCCTCTGCTAGAACATATAAACCACGTGCAAAGACAAAACCGTGGTGGAAATGTCAAAATTAAAATTGTATTCTTTTAATGTGAGACTTCAATCCTTGTTAAAACACAATTATGCCAAGACATAGGAGTGCATTAATATGCGAGAGGAGCCATTGAAGGCTTGCTGTGACCAAGTTGGAGAACCCTGAAAGAGCACGTTTGTACAGAGGGGGAAAGTGGGCACAGACCAGGAGATAAGCACAGCGATGAGGCACATCAAAGACAAATGTCTCCAGGTCTTAGGTGTCGCAGCTGGCCTCACAATTATCTGCATGGTGTTCGCTTATTCATTTAATAGATATTAATTCCATGCTTAAAATATGCCAGATATTGTTTGTGACTCTCAGGACATCAGTGAATCAAACAGGTAATGACCTCAGCCCTCACAGGGCTTACTTTTTACCAGGAAGAGACAGAAAATGAACAATAAACAAGACATGAAATTAAATTCTATGGTATTTTAGAAGGTAATAAATTGCTATTAAAAAAACAAGAAAAGCAGAGCACAGTCTGGGGATTAGGGATACTAGGGTAGTAGAAGCAGTTTCTAATTTTAAATAAGATGAGCGGTTTGCATTTTCAAATAAGCAATTCAGTTAAGAGTCCACTGAGTGTGTAAACAGATGCCAAGTTAAAAACCAGAAAGTGCATCTGTGACAACCACCAGACACTGAAAATTTGCGTTAACACATGGGCTAAGAGGTGGTGAAGGTGTTTATTATCCTTTCTGGATATTTATAGAAGTTCAAATAACATCATGTTATCTCCTTTATTGTTTCACGAATGCAAGGGACAAGTTTCACAATCAAAAGCAAAGGAAAATATGTCTGTTTGAGCAACGGCACACCTTCACATCCTCTTCATCAGTAGGCCTGTATGTGCACAAATCATGCTTAGTTTATTGGGTGTTTCCTTCAACAACATATGAAAATGTTTAAATATTTGAATTATATATTCTGTTTAAAGAGAACGATTAGTGTAAGTGTGTAGAGTGTTGTGATCTGCCTCACACTTAAAGAATAAAAGACCAGAGAAAGCATCGTCTCAGTATGTTCTTCCTTTTTAATAGAAGGTAGGTCCTTAATCACCAGGTTCTGCTCTCTGTCATTAGCATTCAGGGGGTTGAAACAGCATTACTTGGTGATTGAAGCTCATAGAAAATTACAAGGGAGAAATAGTCATGAAAGTCACACATAAGAGCAAGAATTCAAGTCAAGATTATTTTATCCTGGATTGATCAAACTCTATCTTGAGATTTGCTTTGTGTTGACTTTAACCTTCAAATCACACATTCATTAATCATGTCTGAACAAAACCTATATGCTAGAACTGGAAAAGAAGAGAAATAAGTCATCAAAACGTTAATTATGTGCCCAACGTAATTACTGCATAAGTTGAACTACTGCTAAAGTAAAACCTTGTTAAGCAAGATTGCGTATCCTGAATACATGCGGCAGATGTTTTATTCACAAGTTTTCTGAGTAACAGATGGCATTTTGCTTTAAATGTCTTGAGTTTGAGGTAGCTTTGAGACACCTGCTGTAAACATTCCTTACTGGAAGGCAAGATTTGCTGTGCAATAGTCAATTCCCATCCCAATGGTGGAAATCCCCTTTGTATGTTGGGGTCAGCTAGATCCTGTCTCTGCTAGCTTAGAGGGCACAGTCTCCAGTTGAACTATCCCACTGGCTGATCTTGGGAACAAGATCTTGGGATCCCAAGATCAGCCAATGGGATAGTCCAAGTGGAGACTCTGAATTTTGTATGCGATGCCAGGATGGTGGCCAGCAGGAGTCCATTCCTGACACCCAAGACACAGTTGTAGTGTTGGAGGCAGAGGTGGCAGAGATACCTGTGGTTGTGGCAGAAGTGACTGCAGGTGCAGTGTGTCCGCAGAGCCAAACTTTCCCTTTAGTGAGACTTGTCTGTGATTCCAGCTTTGTAAACTTGTGTGGATGTCCTGCTCCAGTCCTTCAATCTGTCTCCCCTGTCTCACTCACAATCCTAAAACTGCCAGATATCTTATGACAGATTCACTTTCTGTTCAGGCTACCCAAGGTTGTTTCCTCCTTCAACCAGAAACCTTGACTGATAATATCCATGTGAAACCTGAATGAGTATCTAACCCCTTCATCTCGCAAAAGAGGAGAGGGGCTCTTAGAAAGGTTGTGACTTTTCCTGGGTTACTCAACAGCAGGTTTTATCAACACCACGAACACCATGACTCATATACCAAAGAGATTATTGAGAATGCATACATAGAACTCAGAAATTAAGAAAAAGATAAATTTTTTGCTTAAGCCTTGAGAATGGATGACATCACCATTTGAGAATGTGCAATGGGACCAAAGGAGAGAGCTGAGAACTGAACCTCAGGGATAATTCACTTTTGAGAGCTGAATTTTTAAAAACAGCGTGCAAACTAAGGCAAACTAGGAAGAGGTTGATAGTATATCCAGAGAAGGAATGGGAATGTAAGGTCATTAAAACCAACGGATAAGAGAGTGATGCAAAAGAGAATAATTGATTAGCAGGTGATGACAGAGTCAACAAACTAAGACTTGAGAAGCAAATTAATTCTGTGATTATGAATTCATTTGTAAATGAAGATATGTTTAAGATGAAAGTCCTTAGAGAGGCACTGGAGCCAAAGCCAGCTTCCAAAGTGTGCAGGGTGAGTTAAGATATGAAGACAGGGAGTGTTGACTTTTGTTTTAGAAAGTGTAGCGCAAGAAGAAAAGAAGAAGTGAGATTGTGTGTTAAGCAATGGAGGACTGACGGAGACTTTTGTGTAGGTGGCTGATTTGAACACCAAAAAGAAGGAGCTAATGAAAAAGGGCATGAGAATAAGGATAAGGACCGAGACTCTGTTTCCTTTGAATATTTGGGTTCACCCCTGCCTTCTCTTCAGTCGGTTGATGGCTGGCTGACTATTGTTCTTTCTTGGTTTCACGTAGTTCTGCTCATAGCCCGTTGTGTGGTTAATCACATTTTCTATATTTGGCTCAGTCGCTTTTTTTTTATTTTGTACTGCGGCACAATAAGGACTAGATGTTATTCATCTAATGGGCACAGACATATTCATCAACAGCAGGCCTGTACTACCCTCAGAAGGCAATTATCTCAGTAAGTCAAGGCAGGGACAGTTAGTTGCCTGGAATACCTGGCTGTTTCATGACCACATATGGCGCTGGAGTGGATTCTGAGGGAGTAACACATTGGTTTCACTGCATCTGTTGCATCTGTTATACAGGAATCTCCCACCGTGAAAACCTAGCAGTCTCCCCTGATGATCCCGGATAATATCACTGGAGGAACTGTGGTATCACTGAGTGTCTGGAAGGAAAGATCTTTTGAGAAATTCACAGATCTCAGAAAAGACATTCTTGCGGCTGCCATCTGCTTGAATGGAGACGAGGCATCCAGTCCTGAGTTACTCTAGGCTAACTGTTGTGGTGGAGGTATTGGGTGGTGGGGGGTACAGGCACTGACACCCCTCTCCCATCTACACTCTGGCTGTATCATGCATATAACAGACTTTGGAGACGGATGAGGTTGAATTCTCAACCAGTCTCCAGGTTATTAGCTCACAGTATTTGTCTCGGAAAGATTCCCCATCTGTTAGCTCTGGGATCTTGGACAAGTTACTTAACCTCTCAGAGGCCGGTCTCCCCATCTATAAATGATTGTGTAGACTTCTGGGGCTCTTGAGGTGATAAAATAAGACATGCAAAGCACTGAACCCAAGGCCTCAATAAATGATGGTGCTTTTGTTCACTCTCTCTGAACTTTGAGATGTATTTTTTTTCCTTAATTAACCATTCCAGAGCATTTGTGTGCATGATGGGTAACAGGAAACAGCAGCCAAGCTAGTGAACCTCGGATTGATTCATAACCTTAGCATTTTTATACTAGAACATGATGCGAGCCTGTTAGTATTAAAAATGAACGTTTTTTTAATAGAAAATAAACATTTTGATATTAGCTCTAATGTATTGGTTAAAAAATGAATCAAACTAACGTAAGACTCATAAGCTTCAAGCCACGTTAGGTTATGATTGTTTAGGCTATGTTATGTTTACACATGACAGTTTTCTCTTGCTTCTAGTGAGATATCAAAAGCATCAATAATCTCCACAATGTATGTATGTGTGTATGCACACACACACACACACACACACACACACACACGTATATCACCAAGAAATAAACTTGTGGGAGCCACATCAATGCAAAGACTGCCTTATATCCTCTAGTGAATCTGTCATGCAAATGTAGTGTGTTTCTGAAATATGCAGAAATAGGTAATATCTGCATATTTAGCAGCTTTAGAAACTTTTATGAGCCAAGCTTCTTTTATTTTCATGTGGTATGTAAAGAACACTTTTAGCAGAATAGAAAAAAAGGATCTTGGACTCATCCTTGACTCCTCTCTTCCTTTTACTCTCAACAACCTGTCCACCAGCAAACCCGTGGGCTCTTCCTTCAAACTATATTCAGGATTCAATAATAAATATCTTCTTAATAGGTCACCTCCATTCACCCTCACCTTTTTACAGCCTGTTCTCCTAACAGCAGCAAAAGTAATACAGTAAAAACGTAAGTCACCTGTCTGTTCAAAAATGTGAAACCACTTCAACTCTGGGTATACACTCAAAAGATTTGAAAGCAGGGACTCAAGCAGATATTTGTATACCAATGATCATAGCATCGTTATAAGCAATAGCCAGAAGATGGAAATGATCCGAGCATCCATGGATGGATGAATAGATAAATAAACTATATATATGTATGTATATATTATATATATGCATATATATAGGAATATTATGCAGCAATAAAAAGTAATCAAATTCTGATATACACTACAACATGGATGAACCTAGAACACATTATGAAATAAGCCAATCACAAAAGTAACAATATTGTTTGATTCCACTTATATCAGGGTACCTGAAATAGACAGAGGCAGAAAGTAGAACAATGGTTGCCAGAGTCTGGGGTACTGGATAATGGAGAGTTGTTGTTTAAAGGATACAGAGTTTCAGTTGGGGAAGACAAAAAAGCTCTGGAGATGGATGGTGGTGATGGTCGTACAACAATGTGAGTGTACTTAATGCCAATGAACTGTACCTTTAAAAATGGTTGGCTAGAAGCAGTGGCTCACTTCTGTAATCCCAGCACTTTGGGAGACCGAGGCAGGCAGATCATGAGGTCAGGAGTTCGAGACCACCCTGGCCCATATGGTGACACCTTGTCTCTACTAAAAATACAAAACTTAGCTGGGTGTGATGGCATGTACCTGCAGTCCCCGCTACTATTCTGGAGACTGAGGCAGAAGAATTGCTTGAATCCAGGAGGCAGAGGTTGCAGTGAGCTGAGATCACACCACTGCACTCCACCCTGGTTGACAGAGCGAGACTCTGTCTCAAAAAAAAAAACAAAAAAAACAACAGTTAAAATGGTAAAGTTTGTGTCATGTCTATGTTACCACACTGTGATGATTAATAATGAGTGTCAACTTGATTGGATTGAAGGATGCAAAGTCTTGTTCCTGGGTGTGTCTGTGAGGGTATGCCGAAGGAAATTAACATTTGAGTCAGTGGGCTGGTGGAGGCAGACCCACCCTCAGTCTGGGTGGGTACCATCTAATCAACTGCCAGCACATCTAGAATAAGGCAGGCAGGAGAAGGTGGAAAGAGCAGATTTTCTGAGTCTTCTGGCCTTCATCTTTCTTCCATGCTGCCCTTGAACATCGGACTCCAAGTTCTTCAGCTTTTGGACTCTTGGGCTTACACCAGTGGTTTGCCAGGGGCTCTTGGGCTTCGGCCACAGACTGAAGGCTACTCTGTCGGCTTCCCTACTTTTGAGGTTTTGGGACTTGGAATGGCTTCCTTGCTCCTCAGCTTACAGATGCCCTATGGTGGGACTTTACCCTGTGATCGTGTGAGTCAATTCTCCTTAAGAAGCTTCCCTTCATATATACATATATGCTATTGGTTCTGTCCTTTTAGAGAACCCTGACTCATACACACACACACATACACACACACACACACACACACACACACACACACACACACACCTACAAAACTGGAATGGCCACCCATCTCAGATTAAAAGCTCAAATTCTGACATGACCCAAAGTTCCTATGTGATTGGATTCCACATTATCCTCTGCTCTAAGTTTTTTTTGTTGTTGTTTTTTGTTGTTGTTGTTTTTGGTTTTGAGACAGAGTTTCACTCTTGTTGCCCAGGCTGGAGTGCAATGACGTGATCTCGGCTCACCGCAACCTCTGCCTCCCAGGTTCAAGCGATTCTCCTGTCTCAGCCTCCTGAGTAGCTTGGATTACAGGCATGCACCACCAGACCCGACTAATTTTGTATTTTTAGTAGAGACAGGGTTTCTCCATGTTGGTTAGGCTGTTCTCAAACTTCTGACCTCAGTGATCCGCTCCCCTCAGCCTCCCAAAATGCTGAGATTACAGGCGGGAGCCACCACGCCAGGCACTTGCTCTAAGTTCTTTTAACGTCACCCTTGTTCACTCCACTCCAGCCATGGCAACTTCTTTGGAATCCTCAAACACCCAGAGCATGCAGCCTCTATAGGTGCTGCTGTTCACTCTACTTGGAATGCTAGGGTGCACGACCCCCAGATACTCACAGGCTCACTTTCTTCCGTATCCCCACCCTTCGGCTCCATGGAATGTGTTAATTCATCACATGTAGTAGAATTTTGATAGAGTGAATATTAAATTTAGGCATCAAATTTTGAAGCAGCAAAAATAGGAGAGCAAATAGATCTGATATGTGATTGCCCTGAAATAACAAAAAGACAAATGGCAAAGTCAAGACATTGGTCTGCCAATAACAGTTACCACTCAGATACATCTTCTCAGGGAAGCTTCCCTGACCACTGTTGACTGTGGTCATTGTTTCCTGACCACTAATGAAAACACATTCCCCCTTCCCTGTTTTATCTTTCTCTAATATAACTTATTAGCACCAGGAAGCCTATGTAACATATATATGTATATTTGTTTCCACCACTCTAAGTTCCATGAGGATAGAATTTTTTTTCTGTTTTGTTCACTCTGCTTCCTCAGTGCTTAGAATAGAACCTGACACCTAGTAGTCGCTCGATAAATATCTAATATGTGCGAACTAATAGCACAAGCTCAAAGACAGGAACATACATTCAAAACATCATTTTAAAATTCAAAGTCTTAGCCCAGGCAACATAGTGAAATCTTATTTCTACAAAAATTAGCTGGGTATGGTGACACACACCTGTAGTCCTAGCTACTCAAGAGGCTGAGGTGGGAGGACAGCTTGAGCCCAGGAGGCAGATGTTGCAGTGAGCTGAGATTGCACCCACTGCACTCCAGCCTGGGCGACAAAGTCACACTCTGTCTTAAATAAATAAATAAATGAAATCCAAAGTTTTTATATTAATTAATTAAATATTTCTCAGAAAATCTTACGAGATAAATCATTGATTAGGAATCTAAGATTTATGTTTTTAGTTTTTCCTGAATAATATTGGATTCTTATTTTTTTATGTCTAATATTTCACGGTTTTTTAAATTTCCAAAATATCTCGTAATCATTCATCCTGAGATTTAATTCAACAAACATTTACCGAGGGCTTTCCACGTACTGGGTCACATGTACCCAATTTGATTTGGCTTTGTTATTGTCACAGCTCTGTAATCATCCAGTAAATGTTTTTGGTTTTTAAAAATATGAACCCTTTCAAATTTGAATAGAAGCAAATTTTTATCAGCTGGGATGATAAATTGGAGATAAAGATTATTTTTCTCCCATAATCATAATTCCTTCTCTTTATGACCCCTCAGTGACACTCAAAACTAGTGGCATTACCAGATCTGGGGCAATCATAGACTCACAAAATCACAGAGATGCATGCACCATGAGGATCCATCTCACTCACTGCCTGCTGCAAGCTGGAAGTGATTTTACACCATTTTGCTAAGTTGGGATATATCTTCTTTGGAGGTTACTCTTTCAGAAATACTTACCTCTACCATAATTATATATAAAAATTAATCTTGTGTTATATGATAATCTTCATTTTATAGATGAAGAAATTAAAGTAAATAATTTAAGTTTCCTACATTATCAAATAAAGTTTCACACAAAACTTAAATAATAAACTTCTGAGGCGCTTTCTGAAGCTTATTGAGTTTTCCTCTTTTTTTTGAGATGGAATCTCATTCCGTCTCTCAAGCTGGAGTGCAGTGGTGCAATCTCGGATCACTGCAACCTCTGCCTCCCAGATTCTCACACCTCAGCCTCCCAAGTAGCTGGGATCACAGGCATGCGCCACCATGCCCAGCTAATTTTTTGTATATTAATAGAGACGTTTCACCACGTTGACCAGGCTGGTCTCGAACACCTGACCTCAAGTGATCCACCTGCCTCGGCCTCCCAAAGTGCTGGGGTTATAGGTGTCAGCCACCACGCCCAGCCTTGAAGCTTACTGATTTTTGTTAGGACAACCTCTTTTCTATGACAAGTAACATTTCCCACAAATCAATGTCTTTGAAGTAAAAGTGTACAACTTTTGACTCTATAAATTACTCCATTTTAAAAGTCTTTCCAAACGGGTTTTAACTTATAAATGGCAACCTATAATTTTCAGGGTTGCAGTTAAAATCCTGTTATAGCTAACTCTATGGGATGTGTCAATTAATTACTTGTAGTAGAATTTTGGTAAAGTGAATATTAAATTCAGCCATTAAATTCCAAAGCAGCAAAAATGGGAGAGAAAATAGAGCTGGTATGTGAGTGCTCTGAAATAAATAAACAGACAAATGACAAAGTCAAGGTGTTGCTCTGTTAATAATAGTTACCACTTACTGATGACAACAATTCTCTCCTTGACCAAAGTTTAGTCAAACCTCTCAAATCCCTTTCTGGACTGGATGTCGGCCTCAGTTCCTGTTCTTGCCAAACATGGAGAGGGCAGTGTTAGCAAGAATCCTGCCAAGTCACTTTAGGGAGAATTTCTTACCTTTGATACCCTTGATTCTGATCAAATTCTTCTCCCCTACTTTTGATATATAAGTCCTTGACCTGCCTTCAGCAAGAATCCTGTTTAGTCAGTTTGGCAAGAATTCTTCCTACCCTTGATGTCTCCTCTTAGTAATATTCCATCCACCGAAGCCCTCACTCTGCTCATTAGCTACAAAGCCCCAGCTGTCTCTGCTGCATCTGGAGTTGAGCTCAGTTTCTCTCCTCTGTTGCAATAGTCTCGACAGCTATTGCAAAGGTCCTGAACAAAGTCTTCCAATCTTCCTTACCATTTTAACAAGTGTCAGACTAACTTTTTCTTTAACACTGAGTATATTTCCATTTATTTATTCTTTCTGTATTCTCTTTCAAGGTCCTGCAATTTATTTACTAATTGATGAGAAATTCACACTTTGGGGTCATTTGAATAAATAATAAGGGAATTAAACTGTTTGGATTTATGCATTGTTTTGAAGTTAGTGATGAGAACAAACAAGGAAGAGAAGGAAAAATGGTAACTTTCAGTTTATCACCTTGAAAATTGATTAAAATATCCTGTTTTGCCACCTGGTTCCCAGATATCTCTAAACATATTTGTAATAGTTTTGGTAAATTGAGACACTGTCTTCAGAGGCTGCTGCTCACAATTTAACAAGGTTCTAAGTTGAGAGGGACAAATAGTCTTTACTTGGACATTTGAATGTTGGAAGTGAGCCAGCTCACTCTCCAGGGAGTGTTCTTCCGCAATTCTATAGCTAGTGTGGGAAAGGATCACGTAAAAAGGAGAATAACCTGGGCTGAGAACTAATCTCTCCAAACCTTATTGAATGGCATCTTATTTCATTTTATGAAATGGAGATACTTGTTAAGTTTTTGCATAAGGTTTTCTGAAACAATGCAATTCATTTTTGTTATAGTGCATTTTTATTACATATTATTATGTTTTTGTTACAATTTCCAATTAAACTGCAAGGCCACTTATACCTATTTTATGATAAATAACTTATGTGGTCTTGCAAACGAATTTTTAAAAACTCACTAACCCACAGAGACACTCCCAATCTTATCCCATCAAAAGCAATTTTGTTGACTTTTTAACCTACAAGGTTGCATTCATGATTCAAAGCCTTAATAGGCTAGCATCACAACCAGAAAGAATAATCACAGCAGTTGTTAATTAAATCTAAGACAGTGATAAGGAGAAACATGGTCACATTAATCATGTATTAAGAGATTAAAAATAACTCCCCCAAATAGGCTGCTGAAATTCACAACACGGAATATGATGTTGAGCATTTTAAAGCTCTCACTGCCCAGTACTCAACAAACAAAGGCGCTGAAACTCAGCTGAATGGGAGAAAAATTCTCTTATCTTGCGTGGAATGATAATGAGAAACTTGATCTGTTATGCTGCCAACTCCAAGGTTGTTGTAAGTCAGTTATTTCATGGGGTCTTGCCAATAGTATGTTTATATTTCAGTGCAAATCAAGCTATGTCAAGGTTACAATGTTTAGTTGAAGAGAACATTTCAAACACCAAAGAACTAAATATTTTTAACCACAGGATCAAAAGGAGGTGGCTTTTGCTCCTTATTGTGTACAAATCAGGACCTGAAACATTTGGGGCAGGAGAACCTGACAGGGAGAAAAATTCCTCTCTAAAAGACAACACTGTTCTCCACGCCAAATGTAAAGTTGGAGCATTTCAGAATCAGAAAGAACCCCAGAGTGACCTGATTCAGCCCTCTTATGTTCCAAAAGAGAAAACAACAGCTAGAGAGAATAAGTTGGGCTGGAATCCCGGTCTCCTGACTTACTACTGTTTCTTTCTGCCAGAAAGATGCCTTCCCTTGTGTTGGGGCTGGGTGGGGGCGGTGCAGGATTCCCTTCCTCAGGTGGAACACAAGGCTAGCCCAATGTCATACCATGTACAAATCATGTGCAAATGGTGTAGACCACCTCTGTCTATGTGGGGTGTCATCCCTGTGTGGTGCCACAAATCCCACAGCCTGCTAAGGAATAACAGCTGAATAAAGCCTACTTCTTTTGTTTCTGCGTCAATTCATTAATAACTCAAGTACTTACTGTTTCTATATTTAATTGTTTATCTTTTTACTACCATTCCAACTAAAGATTTGATTGCAAAAATTAGTGTATACAGGCCAGACACGGTGGCTCCTGCCTGTAATCCAAGCACTTTTGGAGGCTGAGGTAGGTAGATCACTAGAGCCCAGAAGTTTGAGACCAGCCTGGGCAATATGGTGAGATCCCATCTTTATATTGGGGGGAAAGTATATACAGAGCCCATATTTAAGCAATAAGCTTTTTCTTTTACTGTATTAGCTCTTTATCAGTCTACTGAAGTTTCCAGAAGGATTAGAAAGTGTCTTCTCACAACAATATTTTCACAACTACACAAGGTATGGAAATCTCTCCCAAGGCTATGCCTACAGTTAGTTCAGCTGAAGTAAATGCTGGATATAATATGCACCTATGCAACAACCTTGCATGACCTGCACATGTACCCTAGAACCTAAAATAAAATAATATTAGGCCGGGCGTGGTGGCTCACACCTGTAATCCAAGCACTTTGGAGGCCAAGGCGGGCAGATCACTTGAGGTTGGGAGTTCAAGACCAGCCTGACCAACATGGTGAACCCCCGTCTTAAAAATAAATAAATAAAATAAAATAATATTTAAAAAAAGGAAGTTACAAAAACCGTGGAACCAGTTATTTAGATTTAAGATAACTAAAATATTTATTTCAAATATCATTTGAAACTTTCTTCACCAACACTGCCATTTTCTGTCACAATTTCTCAATACCCAAATCATTAATTTTTCTCCTCCAATCTAGGCTCAGAAGTAAGCTTCTACATAGGCTGATACTGGTAAAAAGTAAACACAACACTTTTTATAAGTGAATTTTAAAATCTTGTAGACATTGACTGATGAAATTCATCCCAGCTCCCCCATTCACTCAGTGTCGAAGGAGATATCAAAAAACAGCTTTCTTCTTCCCTTCCCTCTTTTTCCTTCTTTCCTTTCGTTCCTTGGAAAATAAGTCTCAGTTACCTACTATCAAGTAGGCACTCTATTAGTGGCTGTGGAACCAAAATAATTAGTGGTTTCTGTCCTCAAGAGGAGGAAAACATGTTAAAGATGAACTCTTTTTTTTTTTTTTTAAGTATTCTTTTAGCATTTTTGTTGGTGCAATGAGGAGGGCAACAAATCACATACCAAAAAAGATATTTGAGTCAAAGAATCCCCATCCTTAGGTGTTGATATTTTAATCTATAATTTTCCAAATGTAAGAATTTTCTTTTTTTTTTTTTTTTTTTTTTTGAGACGGAGTTTCACGCATATTACCCAGGCTGGAGTGCAATGGCGCGATCTCGGCTCACCGCAACCTCCGCCTCCTGGGTTCAGGCAATTCTCCTGCCTCAGCCTCCTGAGTAGCTGGGATTACAGGCACACACCACCATGCCCAGCTGATGTTTTGTATTTTTAGTAGAGACGGGGTTTCACCATGTTGACCAGGATGGTCTCGATCTCTTGACCTCGTGATCCACCCGCCTCGGCCTCCCAAAGTGCTGGGATTACAGGCTTGAGCCACCGCGCCCGGCCAAATGTAAGAATTTTCTTAAGCCATGTGATCAATTTCTTTTTTTCTTGGAGCCTGAGTATCAGTCTCCATTCATTCTGGAGTCAGGCCACGAATACTGGTAGACAAAAATTTTAGGAAACCTAACCAGTGAATGGGTTCTTGTAACAATCCAAAAAGCTGATAATACCAAAGGCTCCATCCTGGATTTAAACTGCAAGTGTAGAGACTCTAAAGCCACAAAGAAAGCAGAAAAAATACAAGAAAAATTACCTAAGAAATCCTCTGAAAGAAGCCCTTGCTTAGCTGTGAACTACCTGTCACTCTGCCAAAGCACTGCACTAATTAAATATCCTGCTTGAGAAATATCCTAGGGAAAACCAAGCCTAATTCAATTGATCATCTTACTCCACGTATTAGTTTCCTAATGCTGCTGTAACAAATTACTACAAACTTAGCAGCTTAAAACAATACAAAGGTATTCCCTCTCCATTCAGAAGGTCAGAAGCCTGAAATCAGATTCACTAGGCTGAAGTCAAGTTGTTCTCAGAGCTGGCTCCTTCTGGAGGATCTAGGAGGCAGTCCACTCCTTTACGTTTTCTAGCTTGTGGCGTCAGTGCATTTTTCCCGGTTCCTGATGTGTTCCTCAGATCACTCCAATTTCTGTGGTTGCCACATCTCCTACTTCCTTTTTTGACTTTCTTGCCTCATTCTTACAAGGACCACTGTAATTACACTGGGCCCCCTGGACCTTCCCATCTCAAAAGCCTTAACTTAATTACATAAGCAAAGTCTTTTTTGCCATATAAGATAATATGCACAGGCTTTGAGGATTAAAACGTAGATATTTTTGTGGGGCCATTATTCAACCTACCACGTTCAGCCAGAAGTCAGCTTGACTAAGGGGAAACTCCTAATTCCCTCATCAATGTGGGTCAGAAACAAGGCTGAAATGTGGACGTTAAGATGACCTATTGCTCATCCTTCTGGACTGTTTCTTTTTATGTTCAGTGTGGGAGTTTTTGTTACTGGCTAGACAGAGACCCAGATTCTGGTTATGTTTTTACCATTGCTTGCTAAGTCATGGTCTCATCGCTAATGCAATTTGTTTTACACTCTAACCCCAATATTGCTTTTGGCACTTGGTCCTGACCAATTCCCTCCCACTCATGGTATTTGTAATTGACTCCCAGTGGTACTGACATCCAACTTGAGAGATTTCCCCTGTTTTCTCCCCTCTCCTGTTTTTAAACTTTCTAGGATTTTCACAAAATGTTGTGTTTTTGAGCCAAATGCAAATTTAATGGTTGTACATTATCTTCTTGAAAATTTTAATGAATCTAAGATGACATCTAATTTTGATCTCCATCAGGTGATTTCTATAAAATAGAGAGTCCTCAGTTTATAATCTACACAAATTTCAGTCAATACAGTAATTTTTCAACATTTTAAAACACGCTTATGGGGAAGAGAGAATTAAAATCATACTTTAAGACACCATAAGGTTATACTATTTCACTCCTACTGCCACTTATATAGAGACAGAATTGAACAATGTAGTATCTTGTGCTATTTATGTTTGTTAGTATTCTCTTCCCAATTAGATTAGTTGTTCTTAATAGAAAAAAAAAAAAAAAACCCTTTGCTTCTTTTATATGTTCAATGATAAATAGTATTGAATTGGCCACACAATTAGCAATCAAATATTTTTGGCTGACTGACTAGTCTTTTCTTATAAATCACATATGGTTATATGATTTTATTCCTTTCTAGATATTTGGAAACATTTCTATTTAAACAAATTATGTATATGAAAACTTGGTTTGCAAAAAGAAAAATTACAGTATGACGATTTACTTTTAATTAGGATATAAATTCCTATCAATGAGAAACATCTACTGGGGGGAGGGATATTTATATATATTTGTACAGGCTATATATTGATTGAGAAGATAGGATATGGTTGTCCCCTGATTTATTGCTCTGCTTTTAGTCTTCAGTTTTCTAGCAATTTTTAAAATGTGTGCTGCTTTATAATTCCATTACTCTATTCTTTTTAGAGAGAGAAAAACAGAGTATTGCTCTGTCACCCAGGGCAGTGGCACAATCATAGCTCACTGCAGCCTCGAACTCCTGGGCTCAAGTGATGCTCTCACTTCAGCTCAGAAGAGCACTGGGATTACAGGTGTGAACCACCCACCATATTTGGTTAATTACTTATTCTTAATACCCCACCTTTGATTCTGGTTTACATATCATGATAGTTTTGATAGTTAAAAAACATTCAGTTTATTTTGCTTTGGTTTTTTACTTTTTACTAAAGTGTAGCACATCCAAGAAAGCATGGGTCACAGTATCCAGTCCAAGGTATCTTCATAAAGTAATTTAGTGCTGGGGTTAGGATTAGGGTTCTCTTATAACCCTACAAGGGTGTGGAAACAGAACACTGTCACTGTCTCAGAAGCCCAGATTCCTCCTCCCCAAGCTAACCGCCCCTCAACTTCTAATACCATACATACATTTTGCTTGCTTCGGAACTCATTTTATTTTAAAATTTGCTTGTTTTCTCATGTCCAATTGTAAAAAGGTTCAGATTCTGCTCTCCTGAACCCTCAAAAAAGAAGAGATTCCAGGGGATCCTGGGGTTATCTTTTCTTTCTTCTTTTTAATAGAGAAATTTAGTGATGCAGGTAATTATCTCAATAATGTTATCTTCGCCATTAAATCCATCTTTCTTCTTACTTACTAAATGGACCTCCTGTTTCTTTTCTCTCCATTCCTTTTACAAAAGCCTTGGAAGTCCCCCTAATCCTTACACCTATACATTCCTTCCAGGGACTGCTGTCCTTTCCTGTCCCTTGCAGTTATCAGGGGTCCTCTGGTCAGAGCCCACCTTCTTTCTCACTCTCAGAGGGAGATGCATTTTATATCTTTCAAGGTGAACTCTTTTATTTTCCTTTGTGAGTTCTCAATGCAATTGCACTTTTCTTGTCTTAAAAGAAAAAAAAACCCATGTGTATTAATTATAGAGTGTGGTTCAAATTTCTAAAGATTCCTGGGGACACTTACAAGCATTTAATAATTATCATTTCACTTGTCTGGGTTATTTTATTCTTAGAATATTAAACCTAGGAATTGTGCCTTATACTGCTTTGGGCTATACATTCATCAGTTTTTACCATGCCAAATTCAAATGGCCACTGGTGTCTTCTTTTCTGTGACTCTCACCCTCATTCGCTTCCCTCTCCTGTGTTCGGGAGCAGATTGAGGCTCTGGTTGGGGCTCTGTCCTCTGCTTCTGATAGCAAGCTTCTCTCTCTGACTAATGAACCATTTGGATGATGGATATATTGTGTGTTTGTTTTCCAGAAGATGCCTCGAATAATTCTTTCCCAGGAAATATTTTGAGCACTCTAAAGAATTTGAAGAATTGAAAATGCTAAGTACATCTCACATTCTTGATACACTTCAACTGTAGGGACACAGAATATTATAGATGATAAAGCTCTTGACTGGAAGACAGGAAACATGTGTTCTTATCTTGGGCAGCCAGCTGACCAGCTATAGGATTTGAGGCAGGCCATCTCTGTAGGGGTTGTGTCCCTGTCACAGATGAAGAAAATGGGGAGAAGGAGCAGCTGGCTCCCCTGGTTTGAAATCCCTGTCCCCGGAGCTGCCATTCTGCTGTGGCTTTTCTTCAAGAGGGATTGTCCATGGATGTGGGGAGGAAAAGCACCTTGTACCTCTAGAGACACAGAAGAATCTATAAGGGTGCATGTTTTTATGACCCAAACTATAAGAAGTGAAATTACTGAAAATTATCTCGGGCTGTAGAGATGCATAGAAGCTTCACTGAAAAAGTTTCGTGTGAGAAAATCCGTTTTAAAATGTTGAAAATACTGAAAAGGAATACCTTTAGGATCTGTGATTTCTGATATTTATGAGGATCTTTAGGTTCCTTTCATTTCTTGAATTTTTGGTCCATCAGTCATTCTCTTTTCCTGTGCCCTGCCCTCTGCGGAGTTCATTATAAATTATACAATCCCCACCGAGGGTTTCTAGGCCTTTTACTCCTCCAGATTTCCTAATGAAAATAAATAATTCTTTCTACTCAATAAGAAACATAATCAAAAACCAAAGGACCAGTCCTCTGAGCAGGAAGCTCGCCCAGCCCCACCCTCCCGTCCGTGTTCCCTGCCGCTCAGCACTACCAGGACTGGGATGCTAGAAAGACCAGTGATCTGAGTCTTTTTGGTCCTGTGTTTCCCACTGTTGACAAGATTCAGTTCACACTACCCCACAGTATTTTAAGCTGAGAGAATTTTAGAAAACTGCAAAAGCAGGAAGGTCACTCTGCTCTTCTCCTCACCTTTCTCACCTGCAGCAGGTCATAAACCCAGAAAGTATTTTCTGACCATCCCCTGATGCAGGGCGTGAGACCCTCATTCATCCTGTGCCCTCCCTGTACCCAGAGAAAAGGATTATCCTTGTCTCTGAAGACACAGGGTCACAGAAGAGAATCTAAACAAATGAGCCTTGCTAAGGTCCCCCAGTTCATCATTATTAGATCCAAGCATATTCTTCCACAACTGGTCTACTCCTCATCAAACTTAGCATAAAAATATATAAGTTCACTATTTCTCTTTGCCTCTATTTCTTTATGAAGTCTCTCGTGCCACAGAAAACTTATACTAAATACATTTATACACTTTTCTCTTGTTAATCTGCCTTTTCTTATAGAGGCCTCAGCCACAAACCTAGCTTTGGTGAGAAAATGGTGCTTTTCCTCTCCTAAACTAACTATGCAGATGACAGGAGTGCTCTTTCACCTCCTGGGGCTCAATCCAGAAATCAGAAATCACCATTTTTCTTCCTGTACTCTTAGAATTGGCCTAGAATCAGCTCTGGGGAGGGCTCCCTTATTGCAAGGAGCCCAAAAGACTCTGAGGGTGATCAGTCTGCCAAAAGAGCCTTCTAACTGGAGCTCTGTTTTTCACGGGAGTTGATTTGGGCTGGGGTGAGGGGCAGGAGCCCTCAGAGAAAATCCTTCAAGAAAAGCCACAGCAGAATGGCAGCTCCCGGGACAGGGATTTCAAACCAGGGGAGCCAGCTGCTCCTTCTCCCCATTCTTATTTCAGACCTCCAAAGACACCAAGAGGAAGACTGGGGTGACAGAGTTCCTTAGCAGTTGTTTGGTGATAGTGGCACCTAGGAAACAAGCTATGAGATATGCCACCAAAGCCAGAGGGATGACCAGGGTGAGAGGAATGCAGGAGCAGGAAGGACTCCTGTGAGAACGTCTGGAGAGGACCATGAACTCAACCTTTTAAAATTCTATTTTAGAGTAAATTAAATGACACCATATCATTTATCTGTCTTTGCCCCTTGGCCTCAGGAGAAGCTGGTCTCAGAATGAAACTCCAAAGAGTGGATCTCAGTAGGCAGCCTCCCAGTGACGTTTTCCTCTCCTAGGATGATGTATTGGAAAGAAGCTCTGTGGATCTCTGCATCCCAGAATGCAAGGTAGAGCCCCTCCCCTCGGAAGAAGGACTCTGGTAGGAGTGAAGAGGTGAGGTGAAAATCAGTTCCAGTGGGTAGAAGACCTTTCTCTGCACCTGAAGACCTACAGTGTCGTGGGACAGGGGAACAGATCATTACAGCTGTAAAGGATTAACTAGCATAAATAGTGAGGCATTGGAGTGCAGTGAGCCCCAAAAAGGTTGAGTTTTCTTATGTTTGTGTGCGTGCTTGCACGCGCGCGCGCACACACACACACACACACACACACACACACACACACACGGGGAAAAGATACCTGAGAAATGAACACTATTTTCCTAATGACTGCCAAGAACTCACTGTGGACTCCTTCCACCAAATGGCCGGATAAGCAATGAGGCCCTTCCTAGCTAGGACTTGGAAGCATTTTGGTCAAAGGAATGGAAGGGCTGAGCC